AGTCAGTTTGGCGTTGACATGGCTGGCGTGGGAGAGTGGCTGGAGCAGTGCATGATTGTGTTGTTCTGGATGGACTGCGGTCTTGCTGTTTGCTTCTCCATTGGCATCTACCTGCTCATGTTTGTTCCTCTCTAACATCGTATGCTGACAAGTATGCTAACAATCACAGGTGGTCCACCACGACTTTCACCATTTCTCAGATGACACCCATTTGGATCTTCCCAGCATACCCTCTGCTCATCATCGGACCTCATGCTGGTAACCTCGCGCCCAAGGTTGAAGACCCTACCATCTCTCTTACCATCATCCTGACTGGGTATGTCATCCAAGGCATAGGCTTCTTGGTGTCGCTCATGATCTACGCTGCCTTCATCTACCGTCTCATGACGCAGAAGCTTCCTAAGGAATCTCTCCGCCCGGGTATGTTCATCTCTGTCGGTCCATCTGGCTTCACCATCGCCGGCGTGATCATGATGGGCCAAGAGCTTCCAAAGACCGTACCTAGCGATTTTATGGGCGAAGGCAACGGCGAGCTCGCAGGCAAAGTCGGCATGATATGCGCCAACTACATGGGACTATGGCTCTGGGGTCTCGCACTATGGTTCTTCTTCGTCAGCGTCGGTGCGCATTGGTCGTGCGCCAGAAGAGGCAAGATGGATTTCGCAATGACATGGTACTCCTTCATCTTCCCCAACACGGCCCTCACGACATCCACCTTCGCCATTGCTCGCGCCCTCAACGACAACAGGGCCATTGCCCTAATCGGCTGCGCAATGACCATCGCCCTCGTCATGATGTGGTTCTTCGTCATCTTCATGAACGTGCGCGCTGTTGTCATTCATCAGATTTTGTGGCCGGAAAAGCAAGAGGATAGGACCGAAGGTGGATGGAAACAGCAAAGTGCCGAGGAACAGCAGAGGAGACAGCGCGAAAGGGAACTGGCTGATGGCGGTGAGAGCATGAGGGGCAGGGCGTGGAGTCGCGCGAGGACGCTGACGAGACCCCGTGAGAGTGATCCTGCGACGACGGCTATGCCGACGCTGGAGAGGTCGCAGACGGATATTGGGGCGAGGAAGAGGGGGTGGAGCTTTAGAAGGTAGAAGAGACGGAGTGGTGGCAGGTGTGGAGAGTATGAAAATTTCGAGGACTTTGTTGTTTGCATAGAATTTGTCGTCGATACCCCTTAGAGCGATGTTTTTTGGTTGAGCGTTACTTTGAGTTTTCGGTAGATATGGATGTTAACCAGATGTTCCCTTCGAACACCCGCATTACGTCGACCCCAATTGTACTACTTGTTATTAAGTAATTCCCACTCGCAATTTCCTAGTAGAAGTTCCAAGACTGGAAGATAAAATTGAAATGCTACTTGCTTATGTCGCAATGTTCCAGCACCTGGGAGCCGCATGGCTCGAGGCGTGTTTGTGCTAGAATGGATCAGGTTAGAGTCTTGGCACTTCGGAACACATGCACGCGAGTTCGTCGCGTCTTCACGTTGCGCGCGGCAACCCCTACACGCTCTGCTCGCTCGTCCCCATCGCCGAAAAGATGAGACTCATTCTCCATCACTTCTATTACTAATTTTCTTCTTCCCAACACGCTGCACAATATGTCCTGTACTCACCTCGAAGCACGTCAGGCTGCAGGTGGCGAAGCAGGCTGGTCCTCCATGCGCCGACCAATCACTCGTGCATGGGTGCACTGATGAGCTGACCTGATGCGAAAGCAGATTTAGCCTTATCTCTGAATCAGTTCCGCTCACAGCTCCTATTCGCGCTCTTCCTCTAACTGCCCGTAGTTCTTGGGACGGTTTCACCTATATCCGTTACACTCAGAGATGGCTACCAATGGCAGCGATCAAGCTCCACCTCTAGACATTAAGGACGTCGTTCGCCGAGAGTTTCACAAAGGCCAAAAGAGGGCCATGCACCAAGCGCGCAACACTGCCGGAGGTGTGTCGACTTTCGTACAGATCTCACCCGCGGACGCTCCGTCACGGCAGCCTGAAGATGCGAACCATGACGACCATCTTTTGGTATATGAACACGTACGAATGCTCGGTCATGGTGGCAGCGCAAGTGTTGAGATGGTCCGCCATAATAAGACAGGATCGGTTTTCGCACGGAAGGTTATTACGAACGTCTATTCTCGCAACATGGAAGATGCCAAGCGAAGGCTTCTCAATGAAGTCCACATTATGCAACGTTTATCCTCCCATCGTCACATCGCCAAAGTGCACGCCACTTACATCAAAGGGAGGGAACTTGCTATCATTCTCGAGCCGGTTGCGGACGGTGGAGATCTGGCGAACTTTCTGCGAAATTACCGGGATCAAAGAGATTCGAAATTTGAAAACCTATCCAACGCCGAGCGCAAACGTCAGCGTCATATCATGTGGAACGCTTTTGGCTGTTTGGCGTCTGCCTTGGCTTTCATCCACCAACACACTATCCGACACAAAGACATCAAGCCGCAGAATATACTGATTCATCAAGGGAGAATCTTGTACACCGACTTTGGTCTGTCGTACGATTATACGGATCTCGGCCAAAGCACAACTAGTGGCGATCCACAAGGCTTCACCAGGAGGTATTGCGCACCCGAAGTGGCGAAGGGAGAAAAGAGAAATTCTAAATCAGACATATTTTCTCTCGGGTGTGTTTTCGTCGAGATCGCTCTAGCGCTGGCAAAGGATGACTCGTATGACCAGTATTACGGTCGACCGTTTCACGAGCTTGTGAAGTCTTATCCGCGTGGTTTGCCGCTACCACTGCCCAAATACAGCTCCAACAACATGTATCTGTTACGTGACATCATCGGGAAGATGTTGTCGCGTGATTCTGCATCAAGGCCTTCAGCTTCTACGACATCATACATGTTTACAGAAGGCGCTACACCCGAGTTCTCTTGTCCGGAGTGTAAGGAGGTGTTTCACTTTACGTGAATGGAGAGTATATGCCATCAAAAAAGCCCGGCATTTGCAGCAAAGCTTGCTGCTCGCTACTACTCAGCTCATCCGAAACATTGAGGATACCACACTTTAGGTCATTCAGATTGTATCAATTATACTTGGAGATACCAGATTTGATTGCTTGAGCTAGATTATAGCGCAAAGTTCACTACAACATTGGCATACCCTCCATACCCGGAAGCGCCGTCAACCAGCCATCGCGTTCCTCCTTTACACGGTTGGGTACAAGGCACTTGTTCCCATCAGCAGGCTGCTGCGTCTTCAAGCTACCGCAGTTGGCACCCATGCAGCCCTTGGCATCATCCATGGCCTTCTGCAGCGAGTCGTCCTTCCAGCCGAAGACATAGTCTCCGTGCTGTCCATACCCAGTGTTGTCACCAGTCGAGAGTACGAATGGCTGCGAGCCATCGGCAGGCCACTCGGCTTTATTATTAAACTTGCTGGTGTCCCAGACGATCTATAATTCTGTTAGCTTGGCCACAATGGACGATGGTGGATGTTTCTTGACTGACCTCGAGCATGACCTGTGGAATTTTCACGGGATGAGTCGATGGGCAGTTGCCACCAGTCCCAGTACCAGAGAACAAAGCCGGTCCATTGGTGGGGTATGCGACGTGCGATTTGTGATCGGGCGAGTCGAGGTTCTTTCCGTCCCAGCATCTGTCAACGGGTCAGTGGCGCACGAGGTTGTGCGTGATGGACTACTTACGTCGGGTAGAGCACGTTGCTACGGATACCACCCGGGCAAGGTGTCGTAGGGAAGCCTTCGGTATCAAGTCTTGGAGCGTCAGCATGGTCATGAGTACAACGAGACGTGCATGCTCACTTGGCATCCTGGCAAGGCGCGGCATTGTCGCCACCGAAGTTGGGCGCGTTGTAGCATCGGAAGCAAGTCTGAGTCTTCATACCCTTTGAGACGCGGTTGGTGGCATCACCGGTGAGCATACGGAAGCCCTGTATGCTGTGTCAGAGGATGGATTTGCATGGAGAGGTACATGGCTTACGGGCTTGAAAGCGGTGACTTGGCCCTTGCCGCCAGAGACGTAGTAGACGACAAAGCCTCCAGTGGTCTTTCCAGTGTACTTGTCGTTGAATAGATCCCTGTTAGGGATTTGAGGTACGCGCTTGTATGTTCCATTGCGGGCCTTGAAGTAGACATTCGCGGTCCAGTAGTTGGAAAGCTGTCACCCAGACCGTCAGCTTGGTCGTTTGGTGTTCAATACCTGAACTTACATCCTCCGAGTACCCGCAAGTAGTGCATGTCGCAAGCTTGGCGATATCCGTCGACTGCATCGTGACGTTGAACGCATTTCCTCCAACTACCTGGTGCATGTGCGGCGAAGGAGCCTGGCCTGGGTTGACAAGAGGATCGATTCGGTCGATGACATTCTGAGCGCACCCAAAACGCAACATTGTGAAGCCTTGAGAGCCACCGAACTGGGGCGCAGCCTGCGCGACGGCGGCGAGGAGGAGAGTAGGGAACAGCATGACAATTCGCAATGTCTCTTCACAGAAGGATGTGCAGACGATGAAGAAGTACAGAACGATGCAGAGAAGACGCACTGGAGGATAAAGTACTCCAAGAAATGTTCTCCGAAGCTTCCATACCTGCCCAATGCGGCCCACACGCAAGTGTTTGCCATCCCTCTCAACTTTCATATTCGCCATACAACTGCCGACCCCATCCGTACCAGAGAATACATATTAGGGTCACCACAACTTCACCTAATGCGTACGACCTCGTGGCATCGAGGCAATGTCGGCAGTTGCGGAACTAATATGCTGATCCCGCATTCGGCTAAAGGCTTGAGATTACTTCACCAACCTGACCACTTTCTTTGGACGACGTATGGTACCGGGGGATGGGGATCGACATATCCTCGTGGGGATCTAGTCAAGAATATGGGGATGGAAGTGGCGTTATCGGAAAGATCGGAGTCATGGCATGAGAGTTGAATTGATTCTCGTGTCCTATTCTACCACACTACTATGTGTTGGCATCCTAGCCCCGCAAGTCCATAGTTGGGGACGACTAAGCAGGTGCAGGGATAGAACCGGCAACAGCCTTGATGCCCGCGTTCCAGATGTCACCCATGCGCGCGTATCCAGCGACATTCCTATAAGATCAGTCAGCGGAGCGGTCTCCAGATGAACGCGTCGATACTTACGGGTGCAGGTTATCGCTCAACTCGCTGCTCGTGCTGAGGACGTTCATATCAACAATGGAAACCTTCGATCCCTTGCTGACCCTGGCGGCGACGATAGCAGGCAGTGCGTTGTTGAAGGTCTTGATGTTTGCGTTAAGTCCAGATTGCTTTGATGGGATGATCTTGGCCACGATGACGACCGCGTTGGGGACGGCCTTCAGAACGTCATCGAGCAAGAGTCCAAGTCGTCTCGGCGCATCAGCATCTGGCTCTGAGGAAGGGTTTCCTCTGTTCAAGTCGTTGGTACCGGCATGGAGCAGAACGACGTTGGGCTTCAATGCAAGACCACCGGCGGCAACACCACGGATCTGGGAGATGGTGTAGCCAGGGAAACCTTGGTTGTCCTTGTCCGCCATGGTTCCGGACTGTTGCGTGCCGACGAAGTCAACGGTGTAGCCACCAGACTTCAGATCGGCCAGCAGCCGCTCACGGTAGCCATTTGAACCGCCGCCGTTGATGTAACCCCAGGTAATGGAGTCGCCTAGCGGCAGGATGCGGAGGTTCTTCGACTGGCGTGCGACGAGCGCATCGGTGGGAAGACCATTGACGAAGGATAGGACTGCATATCGTTAGTCACGTGTGCATGCATCCCATACTTGTGAGAGCCCTACAGAATGAGAGAATGGCCAATGGCAGAGCCAATCGCGTCATCATATTTGACAGCATCGTGATGAGATATCGAGGTCTTGTCAATAACGCACAAGCGACAGGTTCAGAGGCGGGACGCCCTTTTGATGTAAAACGCCCAGCTTCATCATACCCCAGATTTTGTCCATGCGTGCTTGTGCACCCTCAAAATGGCACACATGGCGTCAGTTTCTCCGTCGATTTGATGAAGCCGAGAGGTTAGCGCGTGCCGATTCTGATTAACCTGCGACAGAGCTCGTGGACGCGAATTCTCCGTTGGCAGAACTACGGCTAAGATGGCGGCGGAGTGGAGGTGCCTCAGGAGGTTTGTGCGCTGTGTCGTCGTCAGACGACGCGACTTTCGACGCGCGCGAAAGGATCACGTCTGCGATTAAAGTTCATATCGCGACGCGCTATCGAGAGCTTCACGATAGGTATGATGCCACCACAACATCGCCGTTGACGCGCTCGGTGTTCTGGAGCTGCTTCTAGCCTCGGTTCCTGACCTTGATGTTTCGATGTTTCGATGTGGAGAGCAATTTGGCCTTGACAGCTGTCCCTAAATCTCCCCGCACCCTAGCTCGATTGGGCATAGCTCAGACGACAACAGCATTTCCACAACACCAAGAGCCCCTCAGCCTCGTCATCTTTTGCATCGAGTGCGCGTTGCACAAGTTACCCTGAACGGGTACGCAAAAAGCTTCGATGCACTGCCTTGTTAGCACAGCTAAGTGAATGAACTGCCAGGTTCTCTAGTCGTGCGTTCAATTGAAGCCTCCTTGTCGGTCTCTTGACTGAGCTTGGCAGTATCGAGAAAGCTTCTGCCACAACGAAAGTCGCGAATCTTTCCATCTGGTAACGCCGTGGTATAGTCATGGACTGCCCGTCCTATCAATACAAGAGCCTGGCTGCGACCGATCATATTCGCCTCATTACCATACTTCCTGAAGAGCGGGGATCGGTAATCAAACTCGGTATCGAGCATGCCGACATCAACTCGCATCCCAAGTATGAGTGCCTGTCGTATGCTTGGGGGACAGACGGCCCGGACCGGTCCATCACGATTAACGACTCTTCGTTATTTGTCACTGCTACCCTCTATGTCGCACTCGAGCATCTTCGCCATGCATCACAAGAGCGCAAGATCTGGATAGACGCTATTTGCATCAACCAGAAAGACATCGCTGAGCGCAATAGTCAAGTCGCTATCATGAGGAAGATTTACAAGAATGCGACGCGTGTAGTTGTGTGGATTGGACCTGCCACCGAGTCGAGCGAACAGGCCATGGAATTTTTGGAGATGTTGGCTACAGCTAGGAAACATCGCAAATGGTATACGAGAGATTGGTCCAGATTGGATGAAAAGGTATCTGAACCAGCTAACAGCCCAACCTATTGGGAGAGACTGAAGAGTCGCCTTGTACGAGTATATGCATCGCTGACGCGGCGAGTTCATCAGGCTAAGGAGCCAAAACCCGACCCGCCAATACCTGACCCGCCAGTATCTGACCCGCCAGTACCAGACCCGCCAATACCTGACCTGCCAGAATCAGACCCACGCTTGCAAGAATTGATTGATCGCCGGTACGACGAATACGATGAGTACATGGTGGCTGTGGAAACTGCGGAACCTACAAAGGACGATTTCGCCGTGACAGGCATTCCCGTACTGTACAACATGGACGGCAATCCCTACGACGAGTATTTCAAGAATGAATGGGAGGCCTATTGGGAGGCCCTCGATGAGCTACTTGCTCGCCCTTGGTGGGAGCGAACCTGGATTGTACAGGAGATTTGGTGTGCTTCGGATGCAATACTGCAATGTGGCACTTCCATAATTGAATGGAAAACCTTTCAAATGGCCATGGATTATTCCGAAGCATGGGACGATATTGGAGATGCTCTGGAAGGCATGAAAAGAAAGTCGCAGTGGGATACATTGCGACGACGTTATACACTGGCGATAAATCTTTCGAAAGCAAGAGTGAATGGAAGTTCGCTGTCGTCGCTGCTTTGGAATACTTGGGATCGCGCATCCACAGATCCAAGGGACAAAGTATTCGTTGTGTTGGGATTAGTGGGCGACGTTGAAGGTGTCTCTGTGGCGCCTGATTACCGCAAGTCGGTGGATCAGGTGTATCGAGAGACTGCGCATCACATCGTAGCAAAAGAAGGTCGGCTTGACATCCTACTGGCGGCCAGCGGCGTTCATGGTAAGGATGGCTTACCGTCATGGGTGCCAGACTGGCGCCGCGAGGCGTACGCAAAGAAGCCGGTTCTACTTGTCAATCGCCATCTCTTGATGACCCTGTGCTATTCGGGGTCTACTGATATGGTTGTTCTCCAAGGGCATGGCTATCGAGCAGCCGGCAACTCGAAGCCATATTGTTCCTTCAGCCAGGATTTACATGTGATGACGGTACTAGGCATACAGTTGGACAGTATTGCTGAGGTATGGGACGTAGATATCGCTGCCATGCGCGACGGTGAATTCATCAAACAGGCCTTCGACTTCATCCTCAAATCGAAGTTTGTGTCTACCGAGGCACGACAGATAGTGTCAGCGGAAAGAGCAAACCTCGCCACTGAACGGCATAGTTCGATCGTAATGACGACACTTACTGGTGGGGGTAACATAGAGTACGATATGAGAGCGCCGACGATGAGAAACATCATGCGACAACGGCGGCTTTTCGTGACGAAGCAGGGATATATTGGGATTGGCCCAGTAGAGGCTCGGTCCCGTGATGTGGTCTTCATCATCTCTGGCTGCAATTTCCCGATCATACTTCGACCGAGAAAGGACATGTTCGCGGTTGTTGGTGAAGCTTACATGAACGGCTACATGGCCGGTGAAGCTCTAGCTCTGGCTCCGGCTCGTCCGTGGAAGAAGATCTCGATACTGTGAAGCGGAATCATTATGAACAACTATCCGAATCGCATAACATGAGTTCTATAATATTTATGCCAACGAAGTATATCGCATCACTTTCGCGTTAGATGATAGGTAGCGCAGAATGTACTCCCAGGCGACCTAACCTCATTGGGTATAGCCCTAATCACCAAGAAATCTGCGCAGGATACCCGGGGGAGACACATCTTCATCAGTTTTTGCATCAACCTATTCCATTGCATGAATTATTTTGTCACGGGTACAGCAGTACCACAGAAATTAATGCTACCTGATGTCAGATCAAATTTCCAGCGTCCTATCCTGAGCACGCGGAGTGAAGAGTATCTATGACGTCAATGACTCCGCCACCTTCTGCTCTCCGTCACCTTCCGCTCCCAAAGAAATCTACCATGACAACACGCTAGGTGCGCAATTTGTTTACCCACGCTCTACATTCATTGCCAAGATGCAGCTGTCTCACAAGAAACTTCCATCTTCAACAGATCAAAGCTTGACTCGAAGCCCTCCCCAGTCGACTTGCCTTGCTTGATCACCCCCGGAGAGGTCACCAACGTTACTTTCGATTTTGGCTTGAACACTTCTCCCTTCCTGAGCTCCATGCTTGCAAGATCGAGCGTCTGGATAACATCCTCAGACCCGAAAGTCCAAGTTACCCGAGACACCTGCCTGCTGATTTCCTTGTCGATCTTGACTGCCTCATCGATGATGTCGAGGAAGCCTTGTTGGCATCCCTTTTGATCATTTGGCCCTAAGAGACGGAGGTTGACGTGGGCTTCGTCGTGAACCTCACTCATCCATTTCTGGAGTTCAACATCGGCTTGACGCCGCTTCTGCTCGTCCATGGAATCCAAGAGCAGACCGACAGTGGTGGCCCTCCAGGTATGGAACCTTTTCGTGGCCTCAATGTCTGCAGGAGATAGGGACCCACCGTTCAGACACGGTTCCAAGTCTTTACAAAGTTGCGTGACTGGTGACGATGCCGTCCCAGCCCATCTGAACTTGCAGAAGACCTCTTGAACAATCACTCTCCACATAAAGGCTTGTATAACGCTAGGGCGGGTTTCTGAACAGTTGACCAAATCCAGATAGCTTTCGTCTCTTGTGGTAGGCACCATGTTCTCCTTCCAGACCCGATTCGGCTCGAATTGGGACCGCTTTGGAAGCTTCTCCGAGAAGTACTGGATGCCGAAGTCGCGAACCTTGTACCTCAGCTGTGTGATCAGATCATAGAGGTAGTTGTCGGTGACTTGATAGAAACCTTGGCCTTGGGCTCGTAGTCCATTCAGTTCTTTCGCTGTCTGCTTCCATCGAGACTTAATATCTCTCAAGTCCGCATCGTATCGTTCCGCTTTAGACTCCCACTGCCGCCTTCCGACCTCCCATTCTTGTCTTTCGATCTCCGACTGTTGTCTCCCGAGCGTCCACTGCTGTACTTCGATGTCTCGTCGCTGTCTCTCGCTGTCTCGCTGTTCTATCTCGACCTTCCAGTGCTCTTCCCTGAGCTGCAATTGCTCCCGTGCCCCCATGAAGTCCATTTCTCTCTTCCGCAATTCATGCTCATAAGTCTCTTTGATCTGAACCACCTCATTTCGAGACGAAGCTAGACGCAATTCGCTCTCCGAGAGGGCCTCTTCCGCCCTTGCACATCGTTCAATCTCTACATCCCGATCGTGTCTCAGGGTCTGTAACAAACCACTCAGGGCTTCCACTTTTCTGCGCTCGTGAATATATCTACGATAATCATCATCATCGCCGGAATCTCGTGCGTATCCTCCGGTCGTGCCCTTCTCTGAGACAATGGGCGCATGCGAGTCCTGCTTCGAAGATACTGATTGCGAACGTCGTCTCGTCTCGTGAGTTGTATAAGACGTGCGCCTATAGCCGTGCGCCGTTACAGATCGAGTACGATCGTCTGTCCTGCGACTACTCTGTCTTGTCTCTCCACTTCCTTGGCCTGATCTGACTTCGAGCTTTCGTGGAGAGGTCCTGAGAAGTCCGGATGACTCTCGCGAGGGCGCATCAATCATTTCGATGTCTTGGGCTGATGTACGCATATGTCTTCTTTTGTCGGAAATTCTCTCGCTTTTCCGAGGATCGTACGTTGGCATGGCTGTACTTGTTCACAATGGCTATCACTGGTGATAATGGTAATGTGTTTTCTGTGCTTTTCTCAATGATGTGCACAGTTGACATCTGGTTGAAGACGCAGGATCTAGAACAGAATTCAACACGCGACACACCCGCGCTATGACGAGCTTGGAATGAAAAGGCAACAATGCCCGCTACACCAGCTATTGATATCTATGATTAACGCAATCCGGCACCGGTGAAGGCTGCTACCATGGAGATGTGCAGCTCCGGCCAGTCAGACCACCGAAGAAGCGAGACTCCATGTAGCCTCGTCCTGGTTCGATCGAGTGCAGCTCTGCAACACAGCGCTAGGCTACATCCGGCGCCCAGAATGTCACCCGTTCGCTCATGGTTCTATTTCTGCGTCTCAACATTGCGGAGTTGGGCGATTTCGCTAATCGATTGGACAGATTGCAAGCCAAATTGAGGCGGTGTCACATCAGTCGACATGGATTGTTCCGCGATGTGAACTTTCACATCCGCGTAACACGCAAAGCCATGAACGAAAACCTCAGCCTTGCGCCCCGTTATCCCAAATCAGCGCACTGGGAATAGATCCCCGCGGACGACATAATACAAGGATACAAGTACCGCTGTTCTTGTTGGTATTGGCGCGCCACGGTGTGATCTGCTAGTGGGAGAGCATCATGTATCAAAATCCTCCACTTTCACATGCAGCTCGATCTTTCACATCTTAGAACGACGCTGAGAATCTCATTCCTTGTGGCGGTCTCAATCGCTCTGATCGTCAGGCTTAATGCCTAATCTTGGACATTATCCGCTCGGCTTTGCGCCACCACTTTCTTGCAACTTGAGCCTTGGGCTGACATGAGTGTCATACACTAGGCGATATCCTCGTACTGGAATCTATTCGATCCCGCTCGAAATTTGGGGCAGCTTGATTCTACTCATCGCTGGTTCCCACCAAGCTAGCGAACTTATTCCACCCCCAGCGCTACCATGTCGACGACAGAAGACTTCCTCAGGAGGCTAAGAATTACAGCAGATGAAGACGATGACGATGTTCTGGTCATCGGCATCGACTTCGGCACGACGTCAGTCTCTAGAATGGTCTCTGACAGCTGTATGGCTGACAATATTGTGTATGTAGCTTCTCGGGAGTCGCCTGGGCCACTTTTGCGGATTTCGAGAGTGACCAGATCAACCTGATCACCACCTGGCCTGGTACAGGCAGAGAAGAGGGTAAGGTTCCGACTGAGTTGTTTTACGAAGACGGTGAGATGACGTGGGGCTACGACATTCCTGTCGATGGCGATCCGATCCGCTGGTTCAAGCTCCTCTTGCTGAAAGACGAAGACCTCGCAGGAGAGTTACGATCTTCGGAGTTTATCCTGAGGGGTCGCAAGATGCTGAAAGAGAACAACAAAACGGCGACTGAGCTGATCGCCGACTATCTGCGAGCGCTATGCATGTACAGTCTCGAGCAGATCAAGAAGTCCCGCGGAGAATCGGTAGTGGATGCGATGAGGTTCCACGTCGTCATTACGATCCCTGCGATCTGGAAAGGCTATGCCAGACAGGGTATGGAAGATGCCGCGAAGAAGTCCGGAATACTTGGCCGACGGCCTGCTGGAGACACAACATTGAGTTTTGCGCCCGAGCCTGAGGCTGCCGCCCTATCGACGCTGGCTGAGCCCGGACGCAAGGCAAAGCAAGGCGACGTATACATGATATGTGATGCTGGAGGGGGCACCGTAGTAAGTATATCCCTCGCTGTAGACCTCCACTCAACGCTTATCTAATCCTCACAGGACCTTATAAGTTATGAGGTCAATCAACTCGACCCAGTCAAGATGGGCGAGGCGGTCGAAGGCACAGGTACACATTAGAACGTACCCCAAGTAATTCCTTATGACACTGACGGATCCTAGGCGGTCTCCACGGAGGCATCTTTATCGACGAAGCTTTTGAAGCCATGTGCAAAGCCCGACTCGGACGAAGATGGGATCGAATGAGTAGAGCGGGGATCAAGGAGGTCATGAAGGGCGAATGGGAACATGCCATTAAGCCCCAGTTTAGACTCGGCAATAACGGGAAGGAATACATCGTTGGAATACCGGCTGAAGCTTTTGGAACAGCTAACTTGGACGACGATAGCCGGGAACCATTCATCAAGAAAGGACGCATTCATTTCAAGAGGTTGGTAGCAGGCGAAAGATATGATAGACAAAGCAGAAGGCTGACCTCGTCCGAATAGTGCACACATCCAGCAGGCGTTCACATCCTCGTTTGCAGGTATCGATCGTCTTGTGGACGAGCAAATTCGCAAAGCGGCACAGAAGGGTTTGAGTATGACGGTACGTGAGCAGAAGCGACCTGAAGATCACCAACTGACAAGTTCAGGGGATTATACTCGTTGGAGGATTGGGCGCAAGCCCATACTTATACGACCACCTGAAGGCGAAGCATGCGAATGTAGGAATTAATATCCTGCAGTCTGGTGGTATGAAACCGTACGTGATCTGTACCTACACGCATCACTCGATTCTGCACCCTACTAACAGCCATGCTAGTCGTACCGCCATCTGCCGTGGCGCAGTGTTCAAAGGCTTCCTCGACGGAGTATGTAAAGGTGATCTCACCACCCCAAGCGGCGGTATACTTGACACGCCCATCATGATCTCATCCACGGTTTCGAGAGCCAGCTTTGGAAATGCTTTCAGGGTCACATTTGATGCGACCGAGCATCTCGAAGAGGACAAGGTGTGGTGTTCCAAAGAGCACGAATGGCAGGCCGACAATCAAATGAGCTGGTATCTCAAAAGGGTGTGTCGCACTTCGGTCTCTTTCTTCGTGGAGCAGAGCTAATCCTAGGCAGGGTGAGAATGTGTCCAAGAAAGATCCTGTTCGCCACAGCTTCTACAAGCTCTACACAGGAGACCCTGGGCGCAATTTCACCGTCGAGTTTCTTCAGTGTCACGAAAGTCTCGCCCCCCAGCGTTACACATCGAGCGTCGTTCCGTTATGCGCGTTGAATTGCACGATAGACAAGCCATACTCGGAATATGAAGACTTCGTCAATTCAAAAGGCGAGGTCATGAAAAAGTTCGACTACACGATCGAAATGGTACCTTCGGGGGCAGCCGTTGAGTTTGCGGTGTACCACGGTCGAAAGAAGTTGGGCACGCAAAACACAAAGGTGATGTTCCAGTGATGAGCGGCTCCCCTTTCTGCGGATACGTGTGGACAAGACTTGGCGAGTTTGGAAGGGGATGCTGAAGCTTCAAGAGAGGACTGCTCAGCATCACCAACTGCGCGACCAAAGGCGTGTAAATCGGTGTTCGGTAATGCTGGCAGGTCCTGCGCAGCTTGTGCGCTTAGCTAGATTAGTTCGATAATTAAATGAATGGATGTCGAGATACTGGTCTGCCGTCGACGATGTGTACTCCTTTCGAGCTGGCCCCGGGGGTGGTGGCTGTGTGAGGTCCTCCAGGTGATTGCCTCCGGCTTTGCCGATGGGCGCAGCTGCCTCATTACTTCCCTTCATATCTCGGAACGAAAAGAATTACCTTCAGCACGTTCGACATCTCGCATTGCGACAAAAATTATGGATAGAGATGAACAGCAACTGCTGATAAGGCAGGCATTGAACATATGTTGACATCAGCGCGCGTGATGAAGAGCGCGACGCCCATGCCCACCAAAATTACGCGACTGCCTCTCTCGGATCAGCGCAAGCCACCACATATGCACAACAACACGTCGAACAGCCACACCAATTCAACGCGACGCAGCTCAGCTTCGGACTTAGCCCCTTTATCGGTAATCAGGGAGATGCATGCGCCGACGTGTCCAGAAGGTTCTCACAGGCCGCCGAGGCGCAGCGCGCGAGAAGAAGTCAGGTACATACACACGCGCAAAGTATAGGTAACACGATTCTTCGTGTCATCTATATGACTTGTTACTTCTCAATAGCCACAAAATATTCACTTCTTCGTCCGGTCGCTTTCTTCTATCTCTCTTCGTGAAAATATGGCGTCGCAGCACGCCTCGCAACACGCCTCGCGGCTTTTAGCCTTCATCGCTTTTGCGATCCTGTTCACTCGCGCGTTCGCTACCACCAGCAATTGCTACACAGGCGATGGAGACCTGGACACTAGCGTCAGTTTACAGCCCTGTCCCGGATCAAACATGTGCTGCTACTTGAACCGAAACGACGGTTACGCAGACGACGTGTGCATACAAGGCGCCTGTAAAAGCGACTTCTGGCCAGGGCAGTATTTCGTGATCGGATGCATTTACCAAGATTGGGATGAGTCGGGCAGTGGTTGTAGTCCATTGTGGAACGCTTGCGGTACGCATCATCTGCCAAACCTTCTGCGACGGAGCACTGACTGCGACTGTTAGGTCGTCCATCAGGATACACACATGTCTCATGGTGTGGCGATGGCAGTTTCTGCTGCGGCCAAGAGGACACTTCTTGTTGTGGTGGTCCTTCTGCGATATTTCTGAACGAAGACGGGACGAAAATCCTGCAGCGAGACTCGGAGGAGATCGAGGACACCACCACTTCATCGTCACCATTGCCGTACACGCCACATAGTACCACAGTCCCAACATCATTGGAAACACGTACCTCCACGCCAACTCGTACCCCGACGGCAGACCGACCTTCTCAGACATCCATACCGACTACTGCAACGTCATCAGATAGGCCAGAAGAGGGGCTGAATACTGAGGCCAAAATTGGAATCGGAATCGGTGTGCCTGCTCTAGTCATTGCGGTTCTTACTCTGTGGGTGAACTGCAGATCGAGACGGAACTAGATCTCGACCGTTCGCGTGGCCGCCCTTGACGAGTCCCCAATTAGACTTGCGACGAGCAGGATCACGGACGGTGCTGATGTCACTTCAATCAGAAGCGGCTCGGTGCAGCATATTCGCAGTATCGGCTCCTGGAGATGCGGACTGCCCATCAGGAGTCCATCTACGTATTTGGTCAGAAAACACGACATCATGACTGTGCTTGATGCACGTAGAATGCAGACTTCTACCTAGTCCTTCAACATTAGTGTTTCGGAAGATGGAAGGCGGAAGGCGGAGGGGAGAGTAGAAGGAGAAGTACTTTGACCTAAAGGCAACCCGACAGCGTACAGTCTGGTCACATCTGGACAAGGCGAATGCCTTCGATGTCTGACTGCATTTTGCTTGGTCAACGAGACTGTATCGTGGGGGTAGGGAATAATGGAGAGGAGTGTGATATGCAGGGAACAAACACAATGTCAGTCGTCCAAACAGTATTACTGATGCCGATAGCAGCAGCTCCATCATCGACTACCATAAGACTTCCATCAGTCTGGCATGCATTAACTGCTCACAGTAATAAGGTTCAAGAACGCCTAGTAAATGCGATCCCCAGTCACTGACAAACCACTCGACGTAGAATGCCTTGGCGAACTCCCAATATTCCGGGTACCACCCTGACAACTCCCAGTCGATGATTGCAGCCACACGACCATCCTTGACAATGATGTTGTCCGGTCTGAGATCCCCATGAGTGAAGACAATACCATGCTTATGTGCATTGACCATGCCACGAATGTAAGGGCCAACCTGGCCTTTGGACTTGGCGATAAAGGCGTCTATGATTGTAGCATTGAAGTCTTCTATGCTTTTGAACGGACCTAGATATCTCGTCAGAGATGCGCTGTTAGTACTTGGAATTGGTGTAACAGCTGACCTCGAGAAGATGTTGACCATTCTAAGATATTATCAGTGACTGGTCCTTCGTCCACAGATCCGATGTAATTAGCTGGCGGAAGAGAGCGCAGCTCGTCCATGTGCTTTTTGAGGTCCGCCGAGATTGCTTGTTTCTCGGTGGAGGTGTGTTTATCCCATGACTTCCCCAAGTCTTCGCCTTCGATAAACTCCATAAAGATATATACATCGTAGACCGTCGCATGATCATCAAGGTCTCGGTCTATGGGTCCGTATGCATATGCTGCATATAGTTTTGGGACGGGAATTGATGTCTTTTCAGCCACATACAGCATGTTCTTAGCTTCGATGAGAGAAGCATGGTGCCCCCATTTTACTGCCATCGTTGGTGACATCTTCGCGAGCATGCCCGTAATGCTTTCTGGTTTTGAAGCGTGAAATTGTTCTGGGGTGATGAGCTTATGTCCTGGGGCGAGATATTGCACATGGATCTGTGGACTGGAAGGCATTGAACTGAACAGCTCGGGCATTGCGGCTGCTTGAAACGCAGCGATAGGCTAGTAACTTACATGAGTAATACAATACACATTTATCAACTTTTACTTACATGATGCATGTTGTCTTCGAACACTGCCATCTTGGAGCGGCTTGTGATAGCTTGCATCAGAAGGGGGCGACTGTTCTTCTATCTGCTTAAAGCGACACCGTAGATGATGTCGATTTTACCGAACAAAGCTATCGCAGCGAAGAAACAAGCATCAGATCATTGAAGTTAGTGCGACGTCTTCTAGGTACTCCGTAATGCGCACTTTAGAAAAAGGCAAGAGAAGGTACGCTGCGCTGCGCGGGGTGCCGGTGCGGGGCAGCCTTCTTGCCTAGTTTGCCCGAGGAATTACCGCACCACGGCAGATTCAGTACGCTCACTCCTTCACCATCTAGAAGAACATTCGCAAAATTCCCACAGATGATATGCGTGACTGAAAAATGCCGTTTGCAATTACATGAATCGAAGCACTCCATACATTGCAGCAGCATGGGCCTCGGCGACTCATATACGGGGAGATGTACTGGAAAGATCTCCGAGAAAACAGCGAAGGAAGGGCACGCAAAGGCCGCCAACATGCATTGTTCTCATACAATAGCCATTACTACTCTTGCTCTATTCGGTCATATTCAGGTAGGAATATCGTATGCCACACCAAGATGAGCGTCACGCGCCTCATACAATGCCTACGCAGATGCATTCCTACGACAAACATGTTATCTTATGCCATTTCAATCAACCAAGGACGAGCTGCTACAGATGGGGTATTTCCAACCATCACGAAGGCATCGGGATACCATAAAAGACGGTAAAGTTATTGTTCTAGACGCTGCTCATCATCCTGCCTTGGAGCTCACGAGCGATTATTAGTGCGCATCCAAGCAACATTTTCCAGTTGCATGAGGACGTGGACTTCTGGAAGGGAGATACCCGTTATCTGAAAGGGCAACCCTTGCAGCAGATATACCGCTCACATTCCAAGTATTGACCACGCCCTTGCTTAACGCATGTATGAGCATCTGGCAAAATGCGTACTCCTGCCAATCAGCGCGCTTTGCACGAATCAACCCACCTACCATCTTGGGGTCTGATCCCCACCAGAATCCAGTCTGACCGGCCCCAGCTTTCTGTCTTGCTCAGTCTCTGAGCCTTCTATAGGCTTGCTATGCGAGCTGTCCCCTGTCCGGAGGCGTCTGAATTACCGTGTGCGAACGCTGCTCGCATGACAGCCCATTCTGCAGCCATGAAGGACGAATAGGCCGCCAGGGGGTCCTTCACTAGATCATTCAGGGCATATCTTGCCATAGCCGTTGCAACTGCGTCATAACAGCAATATATGTCTTGGTTTGCAATTACTTGGCGTTATTGGGTCTGCGATAGCCAGCTGTTAAGTATGACGGGCGCCTGAGGGCCGCTTCGCGCACTTACGTAGGTCGACACCTCAGTCTGATATCTTGTTACATTTTTCTCTGCGGCCTTCACTTGCTGCCAATTTTTCGTTCTCTCATACCCAAAAAGAAGTTTTCGACATGGCAGATCCCAGCTATGTAGCAGCTGAGCCGGGCGACTTCTTCTGTCCAGATGGTGGTACTTGGTGCGTCGACAATCTGACATCAGAACGAACATGACCTTCAACACTAAAACGTGACTCAATAGCGCTACCAAGCACGAAACTGACAGCTAATAGGTACGTCTGCGAGACAGGCACAAAGTTCGTGGGATGCTGCATGTCGGATCCGTGCCAGCATGCCTGCTTCGGTGATGCTCTGAAACCAGCGGGTCGCAATCCCAGGCTCAACAACATATCACCGGGTGCATCCTGTGGTGGTACAACACCCTTCTGGACTTGTTCGATGGCCCCGACATTCTATGGATGTTGCAATGAAGATGCGTGCATGAACAACTCGACATGTCCAGAGGGGCAACTAGAGCCAGCGTTCTGGGACCGACCGGATCAGTATTACTACTTTCATGACCTGAACGTTGCGCTTTCGTCGACTGTTCCTGCGCCTACGGCATTTTCAACTGCTGTCAGCACATCTGCGCCCGCCAGTGATACGCCTTCACCCTCAGCTTCCGCCAGCCCCGATGGAGTTTCTAGCGGAGTCATTGGAGGTGCTGTCGGGGGATCACTCGCTGGCTTGATTATCATCGCCGCAGTCGTGTTCTTCCTGTTTCGCCGCCGGCGCAACAAGAAAGCCAATTCCGAGGCAGAGGCAGCAAACGGCCAAGTGATACCAAAGGCGGAACTGGCATCGCCTACAACAGCCACTGGTTTCGCGCCATCGAACGGGTTCTCACGTACGCTTCTATTCTATGAAACAGATGAGTCTCATTACTGACTGCGTATAGCACCTCCCACATATTCTTGGGACACTTCCGGCCACGAACAGAAATGGACACACCACATTGGCACTGGTGAGATGATGGGAGACACAAGAAACCGTGAGGTAAATGCGAAATGCGCCGATAGCCATGGGCCTGCCGAACTGTACGGGGCTCTACCGGCAAGAGAACTTGAGTCGCCAGAGTACGTTCCGAAAGTAGCGCAGGGGAAATCCGCCCACGACACGTCGAAGCAGGAAGCAGATGGCGCGGATGGCACTAGTGATGAGAAGGCGGCAGCGGTGAACGCACAAACGTGAAAGGCTTCCAGCTGTTTGTGAAGCTTCGCATCGAAGTACCGCGCGGTTTTGTATGCTAGGATCTTGTAAGCTACCAGGTAACTGCCTCTAACTCAACGACGATGCGCGACGCTCTCACATCCTTGAACCAAACGCTACCGTTCCGAGTACGGCCAGATTCTCCTCATCTCCTCCGGCGTCATGCCAAAATCACTGCTCCTGCGCACAAACTCTTCCAGCAATTCCTTGTTTTGCTGTTGTTTCGCAGCGAAGTCCAACATCGGATTGATCCAGCCTTCGAAATCAGCATTAAGGATTCCTCTCGCAAATTCGTGTACTTTGTGGTAGTTACTGTACTTTTCGGACTGTTGCTCAAGCCTTTGCACATCCTCTTCGCTGAAGTTGAGCGGACATTCGCCTTCGAAGCCAATTTCGTCCCATAGATCAGCAACCAGGAGGAGACACGCGCGAAGTGGTATCTCGCCCTCTTCCGAGACTTCTCCGCACCGAGTGAAGAGGTCGCGGAGGAACGATGATATCAGCAAACACCTCCAAGCCCGCATATTCGTGGCTGCGCTACTGACTTCGTACACCTTTGCTTGTTTAGCTTGCTCAAACTTGTACTCGGCCAGCTCCCTATCTTTAGCATCCATTTTGTCTAGATCAGGCGGCGGGTCTGGAAGCTTCATAGCACCCAATTTGTAGTCTTCATCGACAGTAAGAAATTTCGGAAATCGTGCTTGCAAGAACAGCGGCGAGACTACAATGGACTGCCAGTCGATGATTGATGAGATTTGTGGTGGCATCCGCCCTGACACGTATATGTTGCCCATATGGAGGTCTGTGTGCCATAGCACCGGCTCGGAAACTTTCCCGATGAGTGTGCGGTCGTTCAGTCGAGACATGACCTCTTTGGTCATATTAAGAGTATCGATCTGCTCGTCGAGAGTTCCTCGCGGTGAATCAAACGTTTCATCGGAAGTGCGCTTTTGCAGGATTGCGAGCTCTCCTTCGACGAGAGCAGTCCCATACGAAGACAAATCCGGCCCTGATAAAGTCAGCTATGACGCGAATCGTCCAGGGTCGTACTTACACGGCCCCCGATCAAATCGAGGGCTTGCACTTGCTAATGCTTCCGTAGTATGCCATCCTCGCTCGCATGAGGGGCCTATGCAGAACTCTCCCACAGGGTCAGCCTCGTGGCCCAGCGCGACGTGTCTGTCGCCCTCCGTCATTGACTCCAAAAGGTAAAGACTTCCACTCGCTGGGAACTGGATTTCAGCCATCTGTTTTTCGTATTCGGTCAATTGGCCAAAGAATTTGTATCGCTCCCAGTCATTCAAGTTTCCCCACACTTCGAATTGCTGAACCCCAGGAGCCTTTTCCATGATAATGTACTCAGCCCCAACCGGGTTTGACCGATCAGCGTTCCATGCTAGAACTTTCGGTGCTGGGACTTGAGTATACTTGTTTACTGCCGACAACGATAGGATGAGCCGACGTCCCGCAGGCTTTCCAGAATAATGAGGACGTACGGTATTTGAGAACAGCCACCTCCGACGCCGTGGTGTACTTTGGTGGTCCTGCGATAGGAAAGGGTATCTTCGCAACGATCTCGCTGCCATCTTCCTTGCGTAGAAGAAGTGCTTTGCTGAACCCTCCTTCCATCTTGTCGATTGCGCAGACGGGCGAGTGCCGCCCACCAGTAGTCGCAGCTACGTCGCAAAGCTGATCTAGATCGAATGTAACATATCTGCGATCAACCGCTTTCTTCTCGTTCGCTAAGAAATTCCCGTTCGTGTACTTGAATATGTCCTCGCGATCGATCGGTTTGCCTGCTTTCGTTGGCTTATTGACAAGGCTGGGACCGCGCTGTAGTTACCCCGACATGTTATGGTGAGAGCTCGAGAGGCCTGGGTCGCGGCAAGACGTGCATTGGCGCGGAAGTTATGTCGCAGTATGATACTGGGTGGAAACGCTGTTAACATGACTGCATCGCGATGCAGTTTCTCGGGATTCTAGAGAGTACCGGCTGCGCTGGGTGACGCGCTCGCGTGCCCTCCACGCTACGAAGTGGCCCCGCCTCGCGAAGGCGCGCACTCGCGCTCGGCTGACGGCCCACCTGCGCAGCTGCACAAAAGGAAAACAAGGAACCCTGGCTTTAACAGAAGTACGAGAAACGAAAGCGGGCGCGATGGAAATCATTTGAGACTACTGCCAACAATCACATTAGGCGAAGATGGTCAAGTAGTTTCGTGAATTCCATGACAACGATCGTAAGTGTGCTAAAAGACACAGCAGTAACAGAGACGCCGAAAAACACCTAGCGACGGATACCTGACACCTTACATCCGAATCCAACTCGTCATATTTTGACCCTTGCGAAAATGTTGCGCGACATGATCCATCCTCTTCGCGGTAGTCTCAAGCATACACCCGCAGAACCCACACCAGCGTGAGCCAGGCCCACCAGGCGAGACGCCCAAACCTCTTGACCATTCCTTGGGTACCTCAAACCTCTTCTTGACTGGCGGAGGTGCGTCTGCGAGATGCGCAAGTAAGACATGCTGTTTGAGGAGATCCTTGCGAGGAAAACTACGTTCGGCGGTGCACTTATTCGAACAGGGAACGATCATATGTTTGTGAAGATGATCGAGTGAGCCCATTGGGTCCAAGCAGAAGACACATTCAGACTGCAGTTTGAATGCGTCCGTCAACATGCAGACCCATTCTCGATCGTTATAGCCATGTACACTAGCCTCATGTCTCTTCCAGGCCGAAGCGTTCTTGAACGCCTTGACACATACAGTACAGGGAAATGTGTTCTCTGATTCCTGAAAACTGAGAAAAGACGAGGTCTGCTGTGGAGCAGAAGGCAGGTGCTCGCTCGTGCTGCATTGGTGTCGCTGAGCGTGATACCTCCGACCTTTGCGCTTTGGCATGGCAGCTTCCTGCAGAGCGGATGCAGTGAACGCTTCCTGACGCGCTGGGTTTGCTGCAGGATGTTGGTAGACCTGGGTTTCAGTGTCTTCATTGCTGTCTGGCGTGGGATAGCCTGGGTCGGACGGCGAAGGCCATGAACTGCTGTCGCCCGTGCTCGTTACAGGCGGGCAGATAAAGTTATCATCCGCGAAAGACATGAATACAGGTTGTGCGTAGCTAACATGTTGGCGTGCAGTCCGGTATTGGACATAACCCGGCCATTTCGGACCTTGTCATGGCCGTCAAACACTAGATGCAACGTCAGCGGGGTAGTCAAGACATGATAATACAGATTATCAGGCTTACAGTGCTTCTCGCGGGCTCGAGTGTTTCTAAAACAGATTTCGACTTGATCCACAGAGCATCCGGTAGATTCAGCAAGTTTTTCCTTCTCTGTCCGTGAAGGATAAGGCCGAGATGCATGATCGGAGAGCCAACGCCGAACTATTTGCAGCAGTCTTTGACATTCGGTCGATGTAGACGAGTCACTATACGGGCTGCATTGTGACGTCGATATCTGCAGATGATCCTCTGGCTGCTGGGTTGGGCCTGCATGGATGAATTCTGCATCTTGCATGCATAGGCCAAAGTCCGGAAGCTCTGCATCGGTATAGTCCAAAACAGCATCTTGGTCAGCAGGGACGCCATGTGGAGGCCAGAGATTAGTCAACTCGTTTTCATCTTGCACATCTCCGCCATCAACAAGCAACTGGAGTGGCTGCGTAGCGGTGACAGAAACACCGAGGATGTTATCGAGTTCTATATCACCCAAGGAAACGAAGCCACTATGTGCGGCATCCTGGGCAAAGTAGCTGGTGCAGCTGTCGACGTGCACGACGTGAGCATCGACATCGAAGAAGTTGTCGGGCTCAGGATATGAATCATTCGCGTTGTGAAAGAAGGCATCCTGCCTATCGACGTCTGAAGCGGCTTCGTTCCAGATGCTACTAGTGTGTAGTGTTGTCAGTGCTGTACAAGTGGATTTCGGAGCTGCAATTGCAATTGATACTTCGCGTGTGCATTTCAATTGCTGCACGGAGTACTCATGCAAGACGATACATGGGGCCAGGGTGTGTGATGCTCTATTAAAAGAAAACTGCGAATACCTTTCGTCGCTGTGATTCACAAAATTGGGTTGGGCTGATGTTGTTGCTGCGTCGAGAAACTGGACGTAATCGTGTGTTAGCAAGGCCGGCGAAAAGAGTCCTTCGGGAGAAGGAATCTATGAAATACAGGGCGATGATTGGTCCAGAAGGGCACCGCCCCTCAACAGGCAGGCTTCACTTACGTTGGTGGGGTCGGCCATCGGAGGCGAAGGGGTCGTAGCTCCGCTGCCAAGCCTTTTCTGGTCAATTTGAGTGCAGAATCGAACACCACACAACAACGAACGTCCAGAAAGTGATTTTGAAAACGGGGAAAAGGTGGTAGAGTCTCAGAAGAACTTTGGAACTTCTTTTCAGCCTTCAGGATGAGTTTCAAGGCGTCGCAGTCAAATAATCAGAAAAGGTAGAAGGGAAAACCAGTCGCCCTAACTCGATCTGGTTAATCCAATTCATGGGCGACCGCATGCTCCGTCGCGCGCATTGCACTCATCACGTGACGGCGGAGCAGTCCAGGCTCCCCACTTGATGTATTGCTCTCTCCAATGTCCGAATATTTGAAAGAATAGGTATCAATCTCAGGTTACATGAAACACCCTGATTTTGTCAATTCTGGTAAACTGCGACAATCCTATCGCGTTCTAAACGACTTCGTGAGTATGGGAGTGTAGCACCAATGTTCAGCGAGCAAGCTTCATTCACGTGGGTGTCAGAACGATGCGTAAAAATGTCAAGAGAACGATGCAAGTACCAAATTGTTTCAAAAACATCATATTCTTCTCATGACCAAGTCACTACATCATCAAAATATACAAGCGATCATCTGCGATCCCACCACCATCTAAGCCTCCTCAGCAGCAGCGAGAATAACATCCGCCGCCTTCTCCGCAACCATGTACGTAGACACAGCAGTGAAGGTACCCGGAATCTTAGGGAAAACACTAGCATCAACAACCCTCAATCCAGCAACACCGCGGACCTGGAACTTGGAGTCAAGGACAGCCATCTTATCGTCATCAGCACCAATGGGGCAGGTAGACGAGCAGTGGTGACCCCAAGCAGTGTCCTTGGCGTATTGAGCAATCTTCTCGGGGGTATTGGCGTCCTTGCCGGGGAGGACCTCGTCAATGGGAACGAGCTGGCGCTTGAAAGAGTCACGGGCGAGGTCGACGGCCTCGGTGAGGGCAGTGAGATCCTTCTCGTAGTCGCCAACACCGGTGTCGAAGTAGTTGTAGGTGATCTCGGGGACGTCAAGAGGGTCGGCAGAGCGGAGCGCAACGGTTCCGGCGTTGTTGCGCGGGTGCGCCTTGAGGATGGCCCAGGTGAACCAGTCGTGCTCGGAGGTGGCGTTGTAGCTGTAGCCGGGGAAGTAACCGCGGAAGTTGACGGGGCCACCGAAGGCGAAGATGTCGTACTCGTCGCGCTCGGAGACGCTGGACTTGTAGAACATGGTGGCGCCGAGACCGGGGGAAGCGTAGATGCCGCGGTTGCCGAGGACGGATTTCTCCCAGCGGTCGATGCAGGCGTCGTCGTCGGTGTTGCCGAAGGTGCAGCCGTTCAGGGCGGAGAAGTCCGAAGGAGCCTTGCCCTGGACGTTGATCTCGTAGTGGTCTTGGAGGTTGGTTCCGACACCGGGAAGGTCAGCAACGACGGGGATGTCGAACTTGTTCAGCTCGTCGGCTGGGCCGACACCACTGAGCTTGAGAAGTTGGGGAGAGTTGTAGGTTCCTCCGGCAACGATGACCTCCTTGGAAGCGGTGGCGGAACCGGGCTCACCAGCTGCGCCGGTGTTCTTGGGGCTGGCCTTGTAGAGATACTGGCCGTCGAGGAACTCGACACCGGTAGCACGGGGAGGAGTAACGTCCTGGTCGAAGGTGATCTTGGTGACGTGGCAGTTGAGTCTGACATCGAGAGGGTACTGCTTGCTGCCGTCCTCGTTCTTTGCGTCACGGACAGCGAGAACAAACTCGCGGGATCCAGTGCGCTTTCCGTCGGTGGTGGAGAGAGGGATTTGGTAGAGAGCGTTGGACTTGTCACGGCTCTCGGTGTCGGCGTTGGCATCACCAGCAATAAGAGTGCCAAGGTTAACGATGGCGTTGGTCATGTTGGAAAGGGCGAAAGCGGCACCGCCAACCAAGCTGAGAAGCTTGGGGTCGGAGGTAACGATGTCGATGGGTGCGTATGAGGTTCCGAGCCATCCCTCGTAACCGTGGCCCTTCTGACCGGGGAGGAGGTAGTGGTTGTGCTCGAGCTTCTCGAAGTACTTGCGCATGTTCTTGGCAGACCAGGAGTCGTCACCAGTAATGGTAGCAACATTGTCGAAGTCAGACTGGTGAGGGTAGACGGCGATGAGAGCGTTGTGGGCTGTGCATCCACCGAGAGTACCGGTACGAGGGTAAAGCGTACCCTTCATGGTAGAGCCCTCAGGTGGGCTGAGACCGGTGTACTCGCCTCCATCGACAGTCTCGTAGGAGGTCTTGTAGTCGCGAGCTTGGCGCTGCTCATCAGCGTAGTGCTTGACGTAGAAGTTCCAGCTCAGGTTGGGGTCTTCGGAAACCCTGGCGTTGAAAGCAGGAATGGTGTAGTTTTGGCTGGCACCTTGGTCGTCACCGGCTTCGATGAGAAGCGTCTTGTGACCGGCAAGGGCGAGGCGGGCGGCCAGAGGCTTTGGAAATGGTCAGTATTTGTTACAATCAGTCAGGTACTCTTGAACTTACACCACCACCTGCACCAGAGCCGACGACTACGTATTCATAGCCAGTTAGGTCGACAGCTACCGCAAGGGAAGCGAAGGCTGCTACTGTGTAG